GTAGGGATGGGGAAATGTCTTACCCTGAAAAATAAGGATTTTCCTTTTCTCGCTTTGCTTTGTGGTCATAACGTTAAGTTAGTTGGTAGAGCGTTAACCCAGCATGCACAGAGCCCTGGGTTCCACCCCTAGCACTGCATAAACTTGCTAGCACACACCTATAATCCTAGCCCTCAGAACACAGAGGCTATAGGATCAGAAGCTCAAGGTCATTTTCTACTACAAGGTAAGTTTGAGGCCAGTCTGGAATACATGGGCCCCTGTCTCAATAAATAACAAATCATAAACAAATAAAAATAAATTTTGATTTGTTATAAAGGTGTCACCGACACTGTCTCTAGCTTTTATTTACTTAATTCAGCCTCTTAGATCATTGATCACACATGATGTAATGCACATGCAAATATAAATGACAAATGTATGAATCTTTTCATAACCCTTTATGGGTGTATCAGCTATTGGAAAGTCACATACTAGTTGATTCATTATAACAACCATCCCACACAATTTTGTCAAGGTGCTGATCAGATAAACCTTGAAAAAAAGAAAAACATTGACATTAATCTTGTGATTATGTTGGCACTTTTCACAAATGTAGATAAAGCACTTGAGGTGGGTTTGGTCACTTCTCACGGTGATCTAGATGCATGCAATCACACACAGCTCTGCAGGTGACTGAACTCTCTCTGTGTCCCCCACCCCACCCCATTTAAAGTGTGGCACCTGCTGCAAACCATGGACAGGGGCAACAGCACCTCCGGGTTCATCCTCCTGGGACTCTTTGGCCACACCAGAGCCCACCTACTCCTCTTTGTGCTGGTTCTGAGTGTGGCCCTCAACTCCCTGTTAGGCAATGCCCTCCTGCTCCTCCTGATCCACCAGGACCAGCGGCTCCACACGCCCATGTACTTTCTCCTGAGCCAGCTCTCCCTCATGGACATGATGCTGGTCTCCACCATACTGCCCCAAATGGCAATTGGGTATTTGACTGGCAAGAAGTTCATCTCCTCTGTGGGCTGTGGCTTCCAGATCTTCTTCTTCCTCACGCTGGGTGGTGGAGAGTGCTTCCTCCTAGCAGCCATGGCCTATGACAGGTATGTCGCCATATGCCACCCCCTGCGCTATTCGGTTCTGATGAGCTGGCAGCTCTGTCTGAGGATGGCCCTGGGGTCCTGGTTCCTGGGAGCGGCTGATGGGGTCATGCAGGCTGCTGCCACCCTGAGCTTCCAGTTTTGTAGCCGGCGTGAGATTGATCACTTCTTCTGCGAGGCCCCTGTGCTGCTGCGTTTGGCCTGTGGAGACACATCTGTCTTTGAGTTCGTCATGTACATCTGCTGTGTGCTGATGCTCCTGGTCCCCTTCTCCCTCATCCTGACTTCCTACGGTCTCATCCTGGCTGTTGTTCTCAGCATGCGCTCCACGGAAGCCCGAAAGAAGGCTTTTGCCACCTGCTCCTCGCACTTGGCCGTCGTGGGCCTCTTTTACGGAGCTGCCATTTTCATCTACGTGAGACCCGCATCCTCCCGGTCTGGTAACCACGATAAGGTGGTGTCAGCGTTCTACACTCTCGTCACCCCCATGCTCAACCCCGTCATCTACAGCCTGCGGAACAGTGAGGTCAAGGGTGTCCTGAGGAAGTGTGTGGCCCGCTGTGCAGCCCTAATCCGTTACTAAGGGCGCCCTGAGTTGCCTCAGCTTCCATGAAGTTGAAAATAGAGGGCAGCCTCCCATCATGGGGGATGTTCTGAGATGCCCAGTGGACACCTGAAACCCTCTCAAATGCCCTTTCCACCTCAACACTTCTATCCTGTGGCCAGAGCTGGGGCAGCCAGAGCCTCGGCAAAAC